ATTTGTTGGAAATCTGAATGTTTTGTAAAATTTTCCCATGTTAAACTCTTGGCTCGGGCCGGCCCCGTGGCTTGGTGGTTGAGTGCACGCACTCCGCTGCTGGTGGCCCGGGTTTGGATCCCGGGCGCGCACCGACGCGCGGCTTCTCCGGCCATGCTGAGGCCGTGTCCCACGTGTAGCGACTGGAGGGCTGTGCAACTGTGGCATACAACTATCTACTGGGGCTTTGGGGGAAAAAAATAAATAAATAAAAATTAAAAAAAAAAAAAAAACTCTTGGCTCAAATTTAAAATAAAATATTGTGCAGCCTAAACAAAATAGGTCTGTGGGCTGGCTTCAGTTTGAGGGTGAAAGGAAGATCCTTCGGGTATTTGCAGAGGAGTTTGGGGGGCAGTGCTCCATCTAGGCAGAGCTCCATCTAGCTAAGCAGGGTTTGAGCTGACAAAACATCTCGCAGCCTCAAGCGCCAACCACAGCCCCTCTCTGCCAGGTTCTCAGAATGGTTCCCATGGATGGGAATTTCCTCCTGCCTGAGAGCCAGGGACCCTGAAAAACAGACTCTTAGACCAGGGGGGAGACTCACACCTTCGATTCCATTTGAGCCCTTGTCACAGAGCCCATGTAATTGCTTAGGCACATTTTACATTTGGTGTAATTGCCTTGGAAACTATTTAAATAGCATACCAGCCAACAGCAGAGAGTACGTGCAGCCTCCTTCAGCAGCAATTGTAAAATATTGCCTGCTCCTGGATAATTACCTCTCTGGTATTTCCTTTGTGCAACTGATAATTAAATTCCTGCTCTGGGGGGCAGGAGATGATCTTATGACTGGTATGTGCTAATAAGGTCTGTTGACTTCCCCACACTCCTACTCACTTTCAGAACATTGATGCCCACACATTTTAATTAGCAGCTAAAAAAGTCACCCTGGATTTTAAATTGTTTATCTCAAAGGACTGAATTAGTTCACTCACAGTCCAGAGGTGGGTAGACAGAAAGTCAGAGGCAATGTAAGGACAAAATTCACTGGAATAAAATCGATTCTGGGGGCTGGCCCGGTGGCGTAAGCGGTTGGGAGCGCGCCCTCCGCTGCGGCGGCCTGGCGTTCACCGGTTTGGATCCCGGGTGTGCAACGGCGCACCGTTTGTCGAGCCATGCTGTGGCGGCGTCCCATATGAAGTAGAGGAAGATGGGCACGGATGTTAGCCCAGGGCCAGTCTTCCTCGGCAAAAAGAGGAGGATTGGCAGATGTTAGCTCAGGGCCGATCTTCCTCACACACACACAAAAAAATTGATTCTGACTCAGTGAGTGTCATCATAAGGGGAAGGTAGCTAGAATCTGTACTGTTCCAAGGCTTAATTTTGCATGCATCACCTCGCCTCATCCTCTGCCCAGTGCTGAGACACACATTTTTGTCACTGTCATTTTATAGACAATGAAACTGAAACTCATCGATGAAGCTCTAGCTTCTTCTGACTTGGCCGGTAGGCTTCCCTTGATCTGGCCCCAGCTCTGCCGAACCATCTCCTACCTTGAACTTTATGCTCCTGCAATGCTCAGAAGCTTATCATTTTCTAGACATCAAACTATTTCTTGCCATTCTGCCTTTGCTGTGCAGTGCCCTGGTCCTGGGGTGCCCTCCCTCTTGTGTGCTCTCCTTTACATTACTGACTCCTACCAACATTTTAGGATTCCACTCAAAGTTCAAGAAGCCCTACCTGACCCCCAACCTGGGCTGGGTTAGGGGCACCTCCTCTGTGCTCCCATAAGGTGGGGATATCCATCTGTCATTGTTGTTATGACCCCATATTCAATGAACTGTTTCTGTAACTGTTTCGCCCACTGCACTGGGAACTTATTGAGGGTGAGCACTAAGACAAATGGAGGCACAAGTTCGTCAATATCTGTTGAATGAATGAATGAGCATGCCATGGTTGAATTATGCCATCAAATGGTCAATTTATCAACCAACAAGTGACGGCCCACTAGAATCACAAAACGCTAGTCTGGTAAACTTGAAGCAAAATTAGGAGATGTCCTTTCTAGATAGTGGAAGGATAGGTCTATTAGGGGTTATGAGTGGGATTTCATAGTATTAAGTATTCTACCCAGAAGATCAACCAGGAATACATCAAACCTACCTTTGCCCAGCATCCTTCCCAGAGGTTCTGGAAGGAGATGAACACGTAGAGAACAATGGGAAGTGGGAACCAGTATCACTGTATGATATAGGGGCTGGTGAAGGAAACTCCAGTGCAGAGCTCCCTGAGAAAGGGAGCATATGGTGTAGGTGGAAGGTCCGAGGGTATCTCCCTCTCCTAATACAGATCTGACCAGCATCCCACTGGCTAACTCCTGCCCTTTGAACTCACGTGCCAGCCCTGAGTGAAGAGAAGAGGAAGGGCAGCATCTGCCCGGCTGTGCTGAGGGGGCAGACACAGAGGCTGCTCCCAGTCCTGCCACAGGGACAGAAAAACACCCCACAGAGAGACCTTGGAATGCACAGAGACCTTCCTGTTGCCAACGCTTCCAAAGCATTGTCCTGAAATCTCAGTCTGATTGCACTGGGGCAGCCATGACAGGGCACCTCGCGGAGCTCCAACGATAGGAAGTGCTGTGCTCTGAAGGCCAGGTGGTATTTGCACAGAGGCCCCATCCCCCACGTTCGCCATGGCTGCTCCCAGCCAGTGACTCAACACGAGCAAGTATTCCATGATGGGTCGGGTTCCTGGGGGGCACAGGACTCTTCCAAGGCACTCCTCCCTGGTGGCCTTGCCAAACTTTCCTTAGACCCAACTGCATCTAGAACGTGGGCCTCTCCCCTCCTCTCTCCTTCATTGCACAGCTGTCTGAGCTCTCTCAGTCTTTCTGGTTGCCACCTCACTCTTTGTGACAAGTATTTCCTCCAATGAAATCTCTGAACACTTAATCCGGCCATGCGTCTGTTTCTCAGAGGACCCAGGCTAAGCACTACTCCCACTTCTTCCAGAGTAGGTGTGCAGGTGGAGGCCTCAACAATGGGCCTGTCCCCCTACAGCGTCTGGACCAAGAATTGGCGAATTTGCTGGATGGGCAGTCTTATCTCTGTGGTGGTCACACACTCACCCCTGCAAAATTGGGGCCGCAGGTATGGCACATTTAAATCCATACATAAATATATAATTTTGCACTTAAACTTTATATGCCTATAATTTTTTGAACTCTAGGTGTTTGAGAATAAAATCTCTCAGGACAAACATACAAATGTTTGCAACAATTTATACTGTTAATTGTTTTTATTATCACAATGTAATAGTGAACTAAGGGGAAAAAGAAATAAAGCAAGAAGGACAGGTAGAAAATGTTAATGGCCTCAATTTTATAGAGAAATAAAAAATTTAAAAAGACATGTAAGAGGTGGCTGGGGAGATGTTGAAGAGGCAATTTTGATCAAAGGGAAATTTATTGTTTTAGAAGAGGAAAAGGGTAGTTAGAGAAGAAAATAAGTTTAAAAAATTAGAAAAATGGGTTTTGGTAAATGAGATCTCATTTAAAAGAAAAAAAATAGTGAAGAGATTGAAAAATTGTAGACTATTTCACAATTTTATCACCAAAAATAGGTGAATCAAGATCTTAGTTTGAATTTGATCAAGACGAGTTGAGGGAGTTGGCCCGGTGGTGTAGGGGCTAGTTTTGCACATTCTGCTTCAGCGGCCCAGGGTTCACCAGTTCGGATCCTGGGCACAGACCTACACACAGCTCATCAAGCCATGCTAAGGCGGCGTCCCACATAGAAGAACTAGAAGGACCTACAACTAGGATATATAACTCTGTACTGGGGCTTTGGGGAGAAAAAAGAAAAAGAGGAAGATTGGCAATGGATGTTAGCTCAGGGCCGATCTTCCTCAAAAAAAAAAAAAAGATGAGTTGAGGTCTTAGTAAATGTTGAGCAGCTGACATACCAGCCCCAGTTGCACTAGCAATGGGGACCCACGTCATGACAAAAATGTTTTAAGGAAAAAAATCATACACGAAAGAAGTGAATAATCAATAGAAGCCCAGAAACTTCTGGAAGTGGTTGATGTACTCTACCCTGGAGAGAAGGTCTGAGATGGTGTTTGGAAGGGTCTGGACCTGAAGGGAAGACTTTGAGTCTTATGTAAATGATAGACACCGTAATTTCAACTTACAGCTTCTGAGTAACGAGCAAACCTCTAGTACTGTCCACTAACCTGGGTCATAGTGAAGATCAATTATCAATAATATTTGTGGGTTCACTTTGCCTCACCCTCACTATTGGGAGGGTGGGTCAGTGTGTTGGTCCAGAGTCTACCTGAATATAAGAAGGGAAGGAGAACCATGCCTAGATACATTAGTGATATCAGTTACTGTGGGGCCCAACCAGTGGTAGAAGGAAAGAAGTGAGTTGGGGGTTTGAGAGCTGCACAAACGTCTAACGAACAAGAAAATAGGATGGAGCCAGAAGTCTCAGATTGGAAGCCAAGACTCCAAACGAACTTGAAACTGTTACCCCACTGCCAAGGAGCTTGCTTAGAGAACTTTAGGGTTTGGTGGTAAAGCCTCAGGAGTCTAGACTAGGGGGGTGGAAGCATTTGCCCTTTGCCCTGTACATACCTGCAGCAGGGGAAAGGGAGCGGCTTCAGGTCAGGAAGGCCAACACACTCCCAGGAATCAGCGAAACAAGGGAAAGCTCCAGTGAGTGGAGGGAGGAGGAGATGCGCTATGGGGTGGAGAGAAGGTTGCTACCTGGCCTCCTGGCCCTTTGCTCTCCCTTGTTCCCACCTAGTCTCCCTTCCCACACTTTCATGCACTGTGCAATATGTTCACAAATATCAGTGAATTAACCTATAGCTTATCATTAATGTTTGACTTCCATCACTCATTAGGCAAGCAGATAAAAGCACTAATAAGGAAATCAAATGAAATTTGACAGTACGTCCCAGTATTCACAGTAATTACATACAAAGCCAGACATACAGTGTAAAGTACCATCACTCACCGACATGCGGGGCCACCAGCACACCCAGGAGGAGAAGCACAATCATAGCAGGAGAACAAAGGATGGGACCGAGGCATCAATGGGAACGACCTCCTGGGAGAGAAGTCAGTGGAATATGACGTGGGCTTTCAAAAGTCCCATGAAATGAGAACCCCGGAGCCCTTTGTCCCGTAAGGCAGGTGGTAAAGAAGGGAGCCCTGAAAGTGTTTCTGTCCCAGCTTTGCCGCTAACTAGCAGCGTGACATTAGGGAGATCACGTTCCCTCTTTGAGACTTGGTTTATCCATCTGTAAAATGGAAACTTAACCATGTGCTCCTTGGGGCCACAGCTCTGGTCTCATTTATTTATTCGTTTATTCCATGGTTATTTATTGTGTGCCGGGCATGTTGCAAGGATCCAGGAATGCCAAGTGAGGAAAACACTCTCCTTACCTATGAGTCATTCACAGACTAACAGGGAAGGGAGGCAATTTCACAAGTGCTAGAGTTTGACTCTTGGAAATTGAATTTTACACAACCCACACATCACGGTACACCAGCATTCTGAATATACCTTTAGCAGGCCAACTTTGAACTTAGGTACCAACATCCCTTGACGTCTGAATAAATTTGGCGATTGCATGGTGGCGTCACCTGCCAGCAAACTATGCTTTTCCTGCAGGGACTCCTTTCCTTTCCTTGGTTTTTGAGCAATTTGAATACTTTGTTGCAGTCCTGGTAGTTTAAAGAGATGTGCCTCAGGGATTGCCATGGCGGGAAGGGGCAAGGTGGGAGGGTCCAGGATCCTACCCTGTTTCAATCATAGCTGCCCAGTGCTCAGAACAGCAATTGTTTAACTTCATTAGGCACTTACTGCCTATTGACTCAAACAGGTTGACGTGTATTTAATAAGGAAGAAAAAAATTAAAGACCAGAGGCATTTAGAATAATTTTAACTCCCTGGGACTATGACTTCCTAATGAATGTTAGATGGATGGTTGACTTGTGCATATTCTGCTTTAGAACGTGTTTTTAGGACAAAGTATGAATGATAATACAGTGTGATCATGCTACCCCCGCGGCACACACAGGGCTGCTGGATAGTGTACGTGTTGTGCACTGTGCAAAGGTGTTATGCTGAAGGGGCAAGAAGGGGCCCAAATGCAGTCAGTGCTCAGCTCCCTTGCTTGCCCTCTGCAAGGCTACAGCAACCAGGAGGAAGGAGCATTTTCTGCAATTTGTTCTCCCAGAGGCAAATGTTGCCCCACGTTCTGGTAGCCCTGCATACGTACCCAGGGCCGTGGTGGGCCACTCTACCTTGCCGGCAAAGCTTGGTATTGGGGAAAGTGTCCCAGAGGAGAAGACGTCTGTAGGCCATAGGATCGCTATTCTATGAACCTGCCCCAGAGTATAGCACAGCCTCTGGTGGCTGTAAGATAAATGTTTGTTGAATGAATGCAAAAGGGTAGGGTGTGAGTTCTTTGAGATTCTCACTCAGCTCAGGCATTCTCTCATACTCTGGTCATTATCTGATTTTGCTTGGGCATAATGCTCTGCTTATGACCATTTTTAGCCACATAAATTCCTAGGACAGGTTAGCTTTCAAAGTTAGACAGGCTCTCTGATTGTCCTGGGGAGATTGAGATCTGAATGACTTCTTGTCGAGGCCGAGAAACCAGACTGAAAATTAAGGACGAGTCCCGGGCTATGTCCAGATGGAAGGTGGTATGTCCTGGAAACTCCAAGGGCAGGCAGCTGAAGGCATTTCAGAGGACCCCATTGAAGTCATACCCACAGGACTGAGGCCAATGTCACTACCTGGCACTTAGATTTGTTTTTGTTACCATCACACAGTGACAAAATGTCAGAATGTCCAAATTCCGAAGGGGCATTGCAATCATCTGGTCCAAACTCTCATTTTACAGATGAGGTCATTGAGGCTCAGAGACTGGAAATTTACAGTAAAAATGACCCACTTCCAGGTCCAGTGCTTATTACAAAAATAGTACCTACCTATGTGGTCGTTATGAGGACTGAATGAGTTAACCCATACAGGGCTCTTCCAACAGTGCCTGATGGAGAGAAATGGCTCAAAAACATTAGTAATTACAACCACTGTGTCTGGCCCGCAGTAGAGGCTCAATAAATAGTACCTCTTACAATAGAGGCCTCGATTCCCTGTTGGAGCAGAAGCCCCTGTTTGGTGAAAGGAAGGAGGGTGCTCTGTTTAGCGCACTGGATGTGCTCTTTCTCTCTTGTGATGCTCATTTCAGGGAGACACCCCCTGGGTTGTCCTGACGCTCAGAGAAGATAGACGGAGGGTGAAGTTTATTGGAATTGCAAATATGCTTATTGGATTTTCAAGCCTATATTTATTAGAATGCAAATGAGCAAAGTGACCTTATTACAGACATCATCTCCACTCAGCTCAGATGTATTTTTTAAAAGTAGGCTATAAGGAGGGGAGAATGGGGGGTTGTTGTTTAATGGGTACAGAGTTTCAGTTGGGAAGATGAAAAAGTTCTGGAGACGGATGGTGGTGATGTGAGCACAACAATGCGAATGTGCTGAATGCTCCTGGACTGTACACTTAAAAAATGGTTAAAATGGTAAAGTTTATGTTATGTATGATTTACCACAATTAAAAGCAAAGTAAGTTATCAACTTCAGGACCTTATTCCTTTAAACACTACCTTTCGTGTATTGGGTCCTTCATTGTGTCGGGTGCTCCACCAAGCTTTCTCCGTGTACTGGCTCGTGAGGACACTCTGGGACATGTCACTAGAGGGCCAGTAACTTGCCAAGGCTGCCTTCACCAAGAGGCACGACGCCGGGGCACCGTGGCAGCACTGGACACAGGATTGGACCTGAGGTCAGCGGTCCTGCTTGTCCTCCCTGAACTGCCACGCTGATCGTGAAATCCCACATAGGCAGCCTAGTAATTATTCACTGTGACTGTTGCGATTTTTGGTCAGACTTGCTCAGGAGGCCCCTCAGAGTGGCCAGCCACTCGCTGGGGTGTAGCATGACTCTGCAATTGACAGTCCCCAGCTGAGAGCCAAGAAAAGGGAAATCACAGTGCCAGCCAGAAGTGGCTGCACATGTTCAGGCCTGACCAATGGTGAGGGAGACCCAAGTCCAGGGACATACACATTAGGATCTGCAGGTGGGATGGCACAGAGCTGCTGCTGAAATAGCATCCTTCTGGTGGCCAAGTCAGGTGCCCTTGGGGCAGGGCTGTGTCCACCTGGAAGAAGGATTCGATTTTTCTAATTTGCCCCAGGAAGCCTCTGGTGCTATCAGTGGCCCCATGGGGCAGTGCTGGCCTTGTGGGACTGAGGGATCCCCAGGCCTTACCTTGGTCTGCATACAGGGTGTTTGGAGTCCTGGCTCATCAAGCTACGTCCTGATGACTGATTCCCCCCAGTGTAGGAAGTGTCGAAGAGCAAGGCCTTTCCAGCTAGACAGACCTGGCGTGGGGTGGGGGGCTCAGGCTCTGCCTTTCACTTGTTGAGTGCCCTGACCCATGCACTGAAGCTGCCTGGAACTCATTTCTGGGTAGTAAAATGCCCATAATGGTGGTTCTTCATCAGGGCATCATGAGGATTAAATGGGATATCCTTGTAAAGGTGGGTCGCCATGCCTGGCGTGTACTAAGTACTCAGTAAGTAATAATTAATGATTATTATATTTCCACATTAGGTACCCTGGGGAGAGTCACTGGCCCACACAGGTTTGTAGGACCCTCACTGATGTGGTGTGATGGATTTTTTTCCCCAGGTAAATTCACCAGGTATTGTCCCTCTGGCATCTCATCTCCTCATACAAGGGCCCAGAGTGCCTTTGGGTTTCTAGCTACATCCTGGAGTAGCATCCAGATCTCAGACACCCCTTGAGAGCGTCCTTCCTGCCTCCTTCTCTTCCTCCATCCATTTCTCCCTCCATTCCTCCATCCTCCCCTTTTTCTTTCCTTCTTTCCCCCCTCCCTTATTTCATCCATTTCTCCCTCCATCCCTCCATCTTTCCCTCCCTCTCTCTCCATCCCTCCCTTCCTCCTTCTTGGCTTCCCACCCCATCAGAAGAAGGGGGTGCCTACCGTGAAGGTCCCACTTGAAAGCAGTTGGATGAACGATGCTCGGCTTTGAACAAGATGGTGACTGAGCCCTTTATACCCCAGAGAAAGACCCTTAGCCATGTGATCCCCTCCCCCTCCTCACATCAAGAGGACAAGCCCTTTCATGAACGTTGACACGTGGGCTCCCTCCCTCGAGGGGGAGGAGGCCTCATAATGCCATGGTTTAGAGCAGGTGGAGGCTCCATATTAAGAGGCCCCATCTTGAGCCTCAGAGGAGACCCAGGCTCTAATCAGAGAACAAAGCCTCCCCTGTTCCACACCCCTCACCCCACCTCAAAGGCTTGGAGGCCCAGGGATTATGTCTCAGGGTCATCAGGGGAATGAAAGACCGATGAAAGTCACAGGGGCTCTCCTGTGAGGAAAAAGGCTGGCTTTGTCTGATCTAGTTAATTCTTCAGCAAGAGGATCTCTGGGTGATTCTTTGTATATGTTCCTGGCCTCTGGCCTTGGAGTTTGATGCCTCTTTCCTTTAGGGGTTTTCTGCCCAAACTGTGGGGTAGGGCGAGACGGGGCTTTGTAATTAGACATGCTTGGTTCTGGTGCCAGCCCTGCTTACTCTTCAGCAGTGGGACATTAAGCTTGTCACTGCTCAGTCTTGGCTCCCCCATCCATTAAGTGGGGACGATCCCCCCAGGACTGTGAGAGTGAGGTGAGCCAGGTAAGGTGCGTGGAGGGCAGTAGGGGTCATTAAATCCTAGGTCCCCCTCTCCTCTTCATATCCCCTTTGTGAGTTGTTTCCTTTCCAGATTTTAACAAGGACAACTAACATTTATTGAGTACCTATTATATACCACAAATGTTTTTACAGGATTTTGTCCTTATCTCTACAGTGAGATGGAGCGTCTTTTACAGCAGGATGGAGCATTAGCTCCATTTTACAGACAGGACTAACGGTGTCTTCGAGGTTGAGGCATTTGTCTGAGCTCACGTGATGGGATCATTCTTGGCTTAAAGGTTAGCCCAGCTGCAAAC